TCTCTTTGGGAAGCTGAACTTTGCCGTAAAGACAACAAAGGGAATAACTTGTTTTCATCCCACATTTTTTCCCTCTAAGACCTTCATCTCTCCATAATTTTGCATGACARCATTCATAAATAACCGTTTTATCACCGTGATCCAAGTACTCTATTTAATAATATGTTTTTGAAATATTATAATAAATTTGATGATAATAATTACTTTTAACTGTGAAATAATTGGTTAATCAAAGGTTACCTTCAGATATTCCTGCAATTCTGTTTGTAGCTTCTTCTAGATCATCCAATTCTTCATCTGATGTAAGGTCAATTATGGATATATCAGATACATTTACAGTCTTCTTTTGTAATCTATGTTGTCCTGCCGATAACTTCACCATGGAAGAAGTTTGCTCTATTGTCGATGAAGTAATTGATGGCATGGCATTAGAAATCAAGGAATAGTATTTATTTATAGGAAGACTGCCTATTTGAAATATAAAAATTTACGTAATTTGAAACATGTGTTAGAATAGAAATTGTATTGGAATCATTAGTTTAAGAATGAGAGGTTTAAGCGATTATACATACCATTGGAACAATCAGATAATGGACTTCTGATAGTTACATTTGAAGAAGAATGTTGAATTCTTGTATGTTCATACTGACTATATGTGTTTGGGTCCATATTTTCATTATGATACGAAATATTTTTGCTCTTAAATGAATATCTTAATCGCCTATCAGAAATTGGGATATTATCTGTAAAAAGAAAGAGGAAATGATAATGAAAGAAACTACCTTGAAGTTATTATTTGAACAGATAATATTTCCCTCATTGAACATCAAATTAAAAACTTTGTTGACTCAAATACCTTCAATGTTTGATGACGTAGAATTGAATGACTGTTTACTACTATTCAAAACTGTATTTCTAAATTTTCTCCTTTCTTTAGCATCCATGGAATCCATTTTTTTGATAGATCTGTAAAAAAAATTAATCCTTCAATAAGAAACGAGTATATGAAGTCAGTTGTTAATAAATCGTTAGAAACAACAATCATAAGAAAATGGAATCACTTAATTAGTTGTCTTAAACATTCGGTTCTTATTGTAGTGGGAAACAGAAGATGTCTGTGAGGACAATAACTTTATAAGAAACAAATGTTTACATCGAAGAGGCAGTTTTGGAAACTGTAATGTACACCTGTAAGTGCTACTGAAGTTAGCCAACTGCTTTTCAGAGTTTTTTTTTTCCAGATTTGTGTTTCAGAGTTAATGTTCATATTCTTCTGCCAGAGTTAATAACCAGAGTTTTTCTCATTTAAGATACCCCGTGTAATACACGGGGTCGAATCTAGGAAGGCTCTGCATGGTTATCTTTGAAGAAGACATGGCAAAGTTTGCATCATACAGAGCAAGACCAACCAGAGCTCCTCTGGTTCTTAAGGACCAGAGCCCCTGTAGACTCACCAAACAAAAGCAAGGCCAACTAAAGGCCCTTTGGTCAACCACATTTTCTAGTTCGTCTGTCTAGAACCTCTAGGTCAAAAAAATGTTAAATACTTACAATCAGAGACTCTCTTATTAAACATGAAGATCAACCAAATCCCCTCTGGTTCCTTTATGATGGATTAGAATATTTTTCCAAGGTTCAAATAAACATCCAGAAGCAAAGACATGCAYAAGCTAGACCAACCATAGGGGCTCTAAAGACTTATCTTCCAAGTGTAGATAAGTTTATTACAAGACTTGTACTCTTGAAATTACTCTGAAGTAAAACTCGTCAAACTTCAGAGCTCTGTATAGACAAGGCAGAAGCTCTGCATGCAGTATGCAGAAGCTGTGGGACTGTAGAGTTATTAATTTGCATGGGCAAAATTGTTTCATACGACCAGAACATATCATAGATTTCTTTCTAGTCTAGGAGAAGATAATTTGAGTCCTCTTCTCGTAAGTCTAAAGGCAAATTGAGAGGACAGATTTCCAACGTTGGGAAATAGAACTCCAGATTCTGAAAATGTGGAATACGAAAAACAGAGTTACAACTTCGCATGGCCAAAGTTGTTTCATACGAAGAGAGCATGTCAGAGATTTCTAATTAGTCTGGGAGATGAATATTTTAGGCCTCTTCTTCTAAGTCTGGATGCAAAATCTGGAATACATTCGACAGAGTTATAACTTCACATGGCCAGAGTTGTTTCATACGGGGAGAGCATGTCAGAGATTTCTAATTAGTCTGGCATGAGACAATTTGAGTCCTGCTCTCCTAAGTCTGGAGACATTCTGAGAGAACGGAGTTCTAAATCTGGAAGATGAAACTCCAGGTTTTGAAACTTTGGAATACAAACGACAGAGTTATTTCACATGGCCAGAGTTGTTTCATACGCGGAGAACATATCATCGATTTCTTTCTAGTTCGGGAGAAGATAATTTGAGTCATCTTCTCCTAAGTCTGGAGGCATTTTGAACGGACAGATTTCTAAATCTGGAAAATGAAACTTTAGATTTTGAATGTACACGTGTGAATGGCACGAAAGTAAGTCAACTGCTCTCCACAGCTTCTCTCAGACTTGTGTACCCAGAGATCAAATTTATTTGTAGTTTGACGTCAATGATATAATATTCGCATAACTCTGGAATGAAAGTATGAAACTCTAAATAACGTTCTCCCAGACTTTTACTCTGATCGCATAAGAGTTACTACTCTGCAATTAACAGACTTATAACTCTGAAGTATGTCAATGTAAAAATGTTTCCTATTCGGAAAAGCATCCTGCACAGTGAAAGTTTCTACATTGATCATTACCATAACAAAGGAACAACCATCACTCAGACTTATAATTGAACATAATCAAAAGTGCAAACTATTTCAGATTACAAAGTATGAATCTGAATATTCAAAGGTTACTTTTGATTTATTATTTTCCTTCTATTATTAAAGTAAATACAATTTAATACGGAAATTAGGTAAAAAAAAAATAAAAAAATTATTTCTTCAATAACCGGATTTAAAAATAGTAATTAAAACATGGTAGGAAGAGAGTRGTKCACCCGCAAATCGATGCAAATCGGAAAAGGCATAAACTTATTTCAAACTTTAGGAGGTCATTTCAACCGTCACTTTTAAAATTCTATATATATCACCTATATGTGCCCTTACGGTTTCCAATACATCTCACCCTACACCCGACTCTCTATCTTTCTCTTCATCTCTATATACACCCACACACTAGGATGCTCATGGGTTGGGTTGATCGGGTTGATGACATTTGAACAACTCAACCCAATTCTAGTGGTTTGAAAAATCTAAACCCAACCCAACCCAACCCGTACGGGTTGGTCGGGTTGATACTTTGGTGCTAAAAAATATTCTTCTAACCTAGAATATGTTATTTCTCTACTCACAATTTCTTTTTCATAATCAACCATTTGATACAACTTATCCATATTTTTTACGTATATCACATTCAGWTAATTTTCTCAATTCACATATATATGTTCACATTTACTGAACATATATACGAATGAGTTATATAAAGATGTGAATAGATTAAAAATATGTGTGTATGAAGAGCATACATGATAATGTAATTGTCTAATATACATATTAATAGAAATTCAACAATCATATTAAATCCAAGAAATAAAAGGATATCGGGTTCATCGGGTTGGGTTGGGTTCAAATAATAGTAACCCGATATTAACCCAATGCCTACGATTTGACAATTTTACAACTCGATTAGACATCGGGTTGTTTCGGGTTGAGTTATTTCGTGTTGCGTTGATCGGTTTGATCCGGTTGGTCGGGTTTTTGAGCACCTCTACTACACACACATATTGTTCTGTATGTGTAGATTAAACATACATGAACGAATATTAGGGTTTAGAGGAAGAAGAAGACGAAATCAATGGTCTGTTCAAAGAAGGAGGCAAGTAGTGGTTTGTGAGGGATATTGTCTGGTTCGATGCATTCACTCTCTTCTTGTGATATTGAAAAGAAGGGTGATTGCATTGGACCAGACTTCATTCCTTTCAATTTCTTTTGTAATAATAACATGGCTAATATGGTATTACCGGATGATTTAAGATCAGAAAATAGAATGTTTAATATTTATATATTCTTCATTTTTATAACTCTTTTCAACTTTCCTTTTTAGTGTTCTTTTGAATATGTTTGGTTTTCTAAAACCAAAGGAATATGTAATTTATTGATATTAATTTCAATATATTCATACTATTTTGGAATACATTTTACATATGAGCTTGTTTTAATTTTGATATATCCATAATGCTTCTTTTAATGGAGCAGGAAAATACATTTATACATAAAAGCTTAAAAGTTTTAAGATGAAATCATAACGCATAATATAGAAGTTGTGAATATGATCAATACTTTATATTAAAAAAATAATCTGAACTTTTATGAAATCACATATTCATCAAATTAAATGAACGGTTGAGATTAAGTTGTATTGATTGTATAAATATAAAGGATTGCATCTATCTCTCTCTATATATATCTCATGTATATCATGAGCCACATACCTTATTTAACAAAGGGATTAAATATTCAATGTTTTATATTGTACTTCACTACCAAGGAATTACGTAAACGCAGTGTCAACCACTAGCAATTGATAAAATTAAAATATAAAGATAGCTTAAATACCGCAACTTGGAGCAACATCTAAAAGACGAACAATTTCAACCTACCAGAAAAATGAAGGTGACTAAGGAACAACGATTGAATAGTTATGATTAGTGCAATTAAGGATGATTTTGAAAGCCATTATGGTTAGAAGCTTTCTTCATTTCCAAAGCTCTCTTATAAGGCGGGTCTATCGGTGGTTGCACAGGATCCAAACTCTTATAACTTCCGTCAGCGGCTTTAGGAAGCGGGTATGAACGGTCCGAGTCATAACCGCTAAGATCTCCACAAGCCAGAAACGGTATGTATACCTTGTTTGCACCTTCTAACCATCCACTACTGCAATCTACCATTTAACAAATTCACTATCAATCACACAACTTCAGTTTTAACATTAAAAGGTGCATACACATTAGATCTTCTGGCTGTTATAACCTTACACATGTTTATATTTAATAAATTCATAATGATATGTTATAGCTAAAAGAGTAACATGCATCAAAATGCAACAAAGTCTAGTTTAGTTCTTATTTAGTGTAACGAAGATCTTTTTTCTCTCAATCCATGTAATGAAGTTTCAAATTTTCATATTTTATACCCATTTTTAAGTGATAACATGTTGATCTTGTAACATATGATGATGTAGATACCTGTTTACGAAATGGTTACGGCAAAGTGGACGGTAAACTTGACATCAATGTCATCAAATATTACATGATAAACAGTTTACCGGTCAAAATAGGTATAAGAAGAAGGAAATTTTAGAACTTTGTTACATTAAATAGAAAATTTTGGACCAAGGCAAAGACAAGTCAAGGCTTGTCCTGCAAAAACAAGGTTCAAGTCAAGAAAAGAGCCTCTATCAGGAGAAGGTTCAGTACATAGACTTAAAACCAACAAGCCTTGGTGCGAAATGGTCGCATTTAAAATGACCCTTTATCAGAAACAACTGAAAAGACTGAAATGCAAGTCCTTCCAGGTTAGATGCATAAAAAGAGATTGAATTTGAAGTTGTAAAATACCAACCATCCAATCACAAAAAAAAAAAAAAAAAAAAAAAAAAAAAAATAGTAGAATAAAATACCTAAGTCGTCTGCACCAGATGGACTTCCAACCTTCTCAAGGAGTCGATGCAAATCTTTCTCGTTGAACCCTTCAGGAGGTGAATAATTCTCACAAACAGCAAATGCCTCTGTTTACCAAAAAATATTCAAGCAGGCATAGTTGTTCATTCGGCTGAAATAATTGAAGCATAGTTTTACACAAAAACACGACCAAGAGACCGCCAAGTAATGTGGAAGACTGAAGTATGCATAGAACGATATGAAGCTAACCAAATGGGCCTTTGGCCCTTTAGGAGGTCAGGGGTTCAAGAAATTAACATACCATAAGCAGCACTTTCCAGTTTGGAAAGTACAAAGCTATTAAGCACTCATATTAGAGGCCACATCTGCACAGGATGTAAAATGGATGTGGGTGTGGGCGTCGCAAGATATGCACCAGGTGTGTAGACCCATTATCAAAACTAAAACAAATCTCTAGGGTGTGGTTAACTTATTTTTTGAGGCTAGTTCATGTTTGTCATTTCAAGTCCTTACTTAAGGGTTTTCTATGCTTCCAGGTCCAAAAAAAATATGATATTTCAAATACCTGGACGGCTTATATTTAATTAAGGTTATAAAAACCTAAAAAAATTTACAGCAATTATCCATATATCCAGGGTCTAAACACTCCGTTTTCCATTTCTCTGCGCTCCTTTTTATATTCGTAATTCATGACTACTTGTCTCTTTAGTACCCGATATGTATCAGACCCAATACAATGCACTTGCTCCCATGCCTCCTAGGTAAAGTGGTATGAAATATGATGCAAGTATAGTTACAGAACAACATGGACAGAACTTGTAGGAAAATTGTTTGAGGGGTAGACTGAGGAGGGCGTGGGATGAGCAACTAAGGTTGGACATGGCGGCTTTAGGCCTTTCTGAGGACATGAACTATGATAGAAGTTCATGAAGATGCAAAACTAGGGTACTAGACTAGGGTTGGAGATCTAGATGAGAGAAAGAGAGCTGGCAAGGTGGGTAGGTAGTTAAGTTTTACGTTGTTCACTTGCCTTGCCTCTCCATATTGTTTTTTCTTACTAATGTCCATCTTTTATAAATTTAAGCRTACAATCTTTTCCCTCTTACKKACAWCTTTCACAAGCTGGAGATCTTCACCAAAACAGCCGCTCTACTCTTTGAGGTAGAGGCCAAGTCTGCTTATATCTTACCCTCCCCAAACCAACTCCGGGCGAGATATACCGGGCTCCATTGTTTTGGTTTTTTTTTTTTTAAATTGTTCACATTGGCCTGAAGCGTTACACTCAAGGAGATTGTGCAAAATTGGGAGATTCTTTAGAGCAACTTCTCATTAAAAACTAAATATTCTATTCCACTATTCAATAGTTTGATCTTCAATATAAAGCATCACAACTCCATTTATATAAACGGAAATCCTAGTTAAGACATCCCGAGCAAGAAAAATTTAGACTACAATACCCTTGATAAGAAAACCCTAGGCATAGGCATATCTCACTGTCATCCTATCGAACTTACCTTTTAGTACTTACTGATCACATGATCCCAACGCTACTTACCTATACTACTTCCGACACATGTCATTGAAGCTTGCAACCATTACACAATAATTCTTTTATCTTATGACTAGGGGCATACCTACTAAAAGCCGCGGGGGTCCCATGCTACCGCTACTCCATTATCACAAGAGAATAGGCACCTTAAAAGTGCACACGCTTAATTTTGAAGGGTGCCCAGTAATATTTAAAAACCAAAAATGTAACAATAAATCTAATATCGGTCAGATGGTCTGAAAAGGTCGGATTAAAGCTTGCCCTACAAGAGGTCCCACGTTCGATTTAATATTTAGTTGTTCAACTTTTTAAATTCTTATAATTATCATCAGCTGAGCACGGGTCCTGTCTCACAGATGAGGTTAAAGCCACATGTGTGCCCCTTAAGCTAGCCCATGGGCTCCACGTTTGAAGTTGTAAAGCTTGACCATTTTACAATGTGTCATCACATGATAGAGCAGTTGGCCAACACAAAGGCCATATATTTGTCATCGACTCCATTTAACTTTTTCCTATCATCTGCTTTTAATCCATATATTCTAGGTTTGCCTTAAATCTGATTTTCCCTAAATTTGTTTGATCAATTTTCATTTGTTCAAACCTAGTGTTGATTTTAATTTGGTTAGTTAATTTTAATTTGCAAAACATCCTATTTAATACTAGAAGTCCTAGATGCATAAAGCAATGAAATTGGAAAGTGGAAACCTAAAAAAAAAAAAGTAAAAGACAATCAAAATCAAATCCTAAAAATTGGAAAATTTTAAGAAATCGACCACAAAACCAAAAAAGACCCCCTTAAAGGTGGAATTTGGCTAAAAACAGGTTGGGCGTAAGACGTAGTCTTGCGCCTTGCTCAAAAGGTCAAGGTCGATTCCATATTGAAAAAATGTATTTTATTCCCCAAATCAACACAATTGACTTTCCCCCGAGTCAAATCGTGTTGACTTCCCCCCCGTCCTTAAAGGTGCACCCGCTCAGAAGAGAACCTGGGTCCGTCATTGCTTATAACTACATCTTTATCAATCGCTCTATCAAAAACTTGCTCATTGTATGAACACCCCAAGATTTTTTCTCATAAATTAGCACCAAACACCACTTTTTGCACTTCTCAAACTATGTCTATTCAACCTTGATATTAACGTCAGGAGTTCTCCATACTTCTATTAATGTCCGGACTACTACATGACAAAAATTAAATATTACCCAAGCCTTAATTTGTCAGCTATAGGAAGTAGTTTGGGGTTTAGCCCTTGGATAAATTGTCTGGACACTTCCAGTTGTATTTGTATAAAAGAATATCTGAACGTTTTTATTTGAGTTATTTTTTACTATGTGTACCATGCCAAGTCTTCTTACTAATTATCTTGGGTTTGGGCATATGCATACATGTTTTATAAAAATATTATCAAATGTTAGTCTGTTTCCTGGTTAATTGCCTCTCGATGACAAAAGAGTTGCTTCTATGAATAATAATAATAATGCACAATCTCTCTCATCATAATCACACATTCAAGAAAATAAAAATATGGCAGTTAGGTGGTAACTTTGCTGGCTGCCACTGAGTCACTTATTAAAATAGACAAGATTCAAGTGGGACTCACCTATGCTTGAATTTCGGCTACTTTTTGGTTTTGCAAGAGTTACTTCTGTGAAAAATAACTTTAACTGCAAGAAATCAGATCATAAGACAACTCAGCAAGCTGGAATTACAAAAGCACAACTGAGCTTCATGTAATAGCCTGTTCACATTCACCAAGAGCAAGCTAACTATTTGTTTCACGTTTTACATATATGGATCAAGGAAGCCACTAGCAGTTGTCTCAAAGAAGAAAAGAATCAAAGCATACTGGTAATSTAGAAAATGAAGAATCTGTATAACATGTAYCATCAATTCCAAGYAATTGCCTATCTCYRAAGTTGGCAAACACAAGCACTGATTTATGTATAACTCATGCACAGTTGTAGTCACACACCTCCCAAAGGAAGAGAAACTGCGGGTCTTTTAATTGATRGCATCAACTGGCCCATCTTTTAGTCAAATTTATGTTATGGGTATCAGCTATTCAGCTACTTCAGTTTTAACTGTATTTCCCTCTTCTAAATATTCAGATGGTTGAATGTTCAAATTGCATCTACATCATACACATGCTTATTCTCATGTTTTTCACTTATTTAAGCAAACTCGGTTGTTCTTTATAGATTATTAGTTGAAAATTATGTTATTTTCCAGATTCCATAAACAATATACGCTTAAAACACAATTAAACACCTTCAGATAATCGTATACATCAAAAYGCGTATAAGGAACACCTTGAAAGGATGTACCACTCGGTACACSAATCAAAAAACTTATGCATAGAAGTTGCTGAAATACTGAAACAAGAATAGAACAAGCATTCTACTTGAAATTACTAGAGGATCAGCTTATGGATTTGAAGGAACTAGTTCTCCTAGCTGGAAGTCATAAGCACAATTTCGGACCTGGCAATATAGGAGGCTTGTGTCCTTTCCCCTGAAGATCTTTGCAATAAATTTTCCACCATTCTTGAGTATGTGAGTTACGATAGTTAACCCCTGAAAATGAAGTTTTCTCAAATAGCATTAACATTGAATGAACTCCAGAAGTCCACAAATATGACAACATCAAACTGTTCAAGTTCAATAAGTTACTACAGTAGCCAGAGTACTTTTTACATGCAAAATTTTTGTTCAATTCACATACTTTACAACAAAAGATAACCAAAAAGCATAAGTAAAATTAGTTGGGCTATGCGTATTCAATTAGATGAGAAACAGGTGAAAAAGGTATTTTGATTTTTCTAAAAAGAGGATGGTACCTCTAGCAAGCTTAAGTATTTGTTATTACCATTGCAACATAAAAATAATCACAATTTCATCGTTATTTTAGCACAAGAAGAATCTACACTAACTCTACTAATCCCTAACATTCACCTTGATATTATCGTCCCTACCTTCAAGTTTAAATTGCACTTCTCCTGAAGACAATGTCTACCGACAAACAAGACCACATGTAATAGGTGGTTGAATCTGTTCAAAGTCCAGAATAGTATTATATTTTAAACCCCCTATCAAGTACATATGGTTTTAAAAGGTCAAGGTGTATGCCTCGAGACGAGGCGATCCAAAATCGCATCTGAGGCTGCGCCTCTGCTGGTGGAATTGAGACGTACACTTCCCATGGAAGAGGCATTCATTGAGGCGTACTGAGGCGTGAAAATCGGTTGGGACATAATGAGGAGTATGGGCTGTATTCTACTCTTTATTTTGTAAAGGAAACCCTAAAACGTTCTCTTTCTCTCCTCTCCTCCCTCACAGTTCCTCTCCTCCTACTCTCTCACACACCATTCTGTATGCTCTTCCCTCCCTAACGCTTCCTCTCCTCTCCTCCCGGTCACACTTTCTCTCCTCCCTCATGCACGTCCAACCCTACCCCCAAAAAACCAACCTTCAAGATCAACAAGGGAGAACACAGCGCCTCACATTTTCATCTTTCAAAATCTTGCATACTCGTTATCATCTGCCAAGACTTAAGATTGGATACAATTCTATCTATCCTCCTACCTAGGTAGCAATGTTAGATTATAAGCAAGATAAAAGCATATTTGGTGTTTGGAATGCATAATGACATCAAAGAAACAAATTCTATTTAAAAGCAACTTGCTTTTCACTACATAAGATTAATCTTATCTAATATGAAGTATGGATTTGAAACGATTACCGCCAATATCAATTGTGATTGAACAAATTCATCCATGTCATGTAGTCCAGTTACTGCATTCCAAAGTTCGAAGTACAATGAAGAAGACATGTCRAAGGGGAGAACTTGTGGGAAATTTACGACAACAAATGYGCAAAAACATATAAAYRATCTTACCATCAGGAGCACCATCACAGACAACTAGGTCAGCCTTGCATCCATCAAAATGCCTAATGACCTGAAAATAAATAAGAAATAAAAATAAATGAAGGAAAGCACCAATTTATACAGCAGGTAAAAAACAGCTGCAAGCCTGCAAGGACTCTAAAAATCGTGTACTCTTTTAGATGCATCAATGGGTAAAATAAGGAAATTCAAGCAAGTGCAGAAAAGTCCACGAGTTCATCCACTCATGCAGGGGGATGCAGAGACCATGAAGAGAGCAGAAGGTGAATGGAATATGTGTGTATATGATAAACCGTGAAAAGAATCCAGTATATCCCAGCCAGATATGGAGTTGTGGGGTGGGATGTATGCAAACATGTGAAGAGCTTAAAAAAAGTAGTTTGAAAGTGAAGAACTTGCGACTAGAAAGGAAGATAGTCCTAATTCTAAAAATAAMCAAGGCTAGAGAAAAGTAAGCAACACCATATAAACAGAAGYAGGTGCAAAGAAACATAGCAAAGGTAAGACAACGACACAACCCCTGGTCTATCTTATTATCTGCCCAATGTGTGTATATATTATATCAACAGTATTAGTATATGTAAACCAAGAAAATAAGTTAGAACTATTCAGCATACATTGTATCATTTGCACTCTTCATCTTATGTTATCATTCATATCAGTTACTATAATTGTGCATCAAACCTACAAGTTTTCAAATACTATATATGTATGTAAATATTTAAACAGGCAACCAAATCAAAGAATTAAATCAAAAGTTTTAWGCAATGAATTAAGAATTAGGAAGTTGTGCCAGAGACTAATGTATAAGGTTCAAACTCATAAGAACATAAAAAGATACAAAAGAACACCATCTAACTCTCTTCTAGAAGGGAGTGAAACAAGGATAAGTGAAAGAGYTCAACACACCACTTCAGCTGTTCGAGCATTTGTTATGTCTCCTTGCACTTGGATAACACCTTCGATTGGAGCCATGGGTTGTAAATCAATAGCCACAATGAGTGGAAGATCAYGATCTCTGTAAATCATGATTCAAATTTGAGTACGTAAGTCATGTGTATCTTGTAAGCATAAGAGCATAAATAAAGTCTTTTAGCTTATGAAATATAAAAACATTCCGCAAATTGTAATGTGACATGAGKACTAATATATGTCCATTCACACTTGAATAAGAGAAGGTGCTCAAATACTAATTCTATGATTTCAAGACTAGTGAAAATTTAGTTTATCATTAAAATCAAATTTATAYGTGCAAAAGTATGTTTAGGTTACTTGGAACCATCCTCTCTTCCCAGATTAATTAGTTTTTATCCTAAACTACCAGGATTTCCAAGAATAACTCCATCTGAAGTATTATTAATTCGAAAAAAATGAATTTCAAGCATTTATGTAAACTTTTTGTATTTAAGACATCAMTTTATGTTTTGGAGTAACATTGTTTATAGGGAAAAATGCAACTAAGTTTGCTTTAGTTCCTATTTAGTGTAACGAAGAATATTTGTTCACTCTCAATTTAATGAAGTTTCAAATTACCTAAYTTTTAACCATTTTAACTAGCAATGGGCTGATTTTTGTAACTTGATAATATTGATGCCAAGTTTTCAAGTTATACTGATTGAAAAAAATAAAATGATGGATCCGCAGGTTACCAGGAAAAAGTATATTGATTGACAACTTGCCATCCAAGTCATCAAATATTACAAGATCAGGTTACAGGTCAAATGGGTATTAAATGAATAATATTAAAAAAAACTTATTACATTGATTGAGAAAAAGGAATGTCCATTAAATTAAATAGGAACTAAGGCAAAATTTGTTGCATTTAGCCCTTATTTATAAAGTAGTAACTAGAATCACAAGRCAACCAGACTAAATGAGCACACTATTTGATGATCCTTTAGCCTGAATTTATGCAAGCATCAGTCACAYGGCATAATAATCTATTTGGTTCCACTACTGATAAAAAAGAATGCAATGCCCACATCTACCAAACAACTGACGATATGTTACAGGCACTAGCATAGCTCATGAAACAATTAAAACCCGACACAGGGTTCTTGTGGATGGTGTGGCAGTTAGGTTTGTATCACATCTTACTTCAAACACACTTAATCATACTCACTTTGAATCAGATGATAGCTTAGCTGGAAGATACAACTTCCGACTCAAAACCTACAAAAAGATATCTGAATTATTAGTGCAACAGATGCAATATTAATACTTTAGAAATATGTAAGATGAAATACAAACTCGTAATGCAGCATTTCATTTGTGCTAGTGCATAGAAGAACAAAGAAGATCATAGATATAATATCCCTCAGATTACTGACGATGACGGGGTTTGAGAAGAGTCTCCTGTCCATAGTCTAAAATACCAAAAGCAGAAACCTTGTGTCTTTTTTATCAGCAAAGAAAGCATGCAAGCACCAGACTCATGATAAAGCATAACAAAAGCATGTTCAACCACTTCCACACTTGTTACAAATGCAATTGAAAAGCAAATAGAACCCATAATATCTAGTAAAAAAACACATTACTACCGTCAAAAAAATTCTATTTCTAAGAAAATTAAGACAAGGCCTCGTCATTGTGAAAGCAATGAAGAATTCATATCACTTCCGACAAGAGGCAAGCACAAATATCTAAGCAAGAAGTTTTTGTAAAAAACATGAAAATACATGATAAAAGAAACACGTGTTACATTTCTTTCAAACATATATTCAAAATTCCAGCACAAATAAAATAAAGTGCAATTTTTTATTACTTAATCACAAATTCAAACATACACTAAAGATGTGTGATTACTATGCTTGCTCAGGCTTTCATTACATCTGTCGAAAAAAATGATATTTGGGTTTCATACTTTACTTTCCCTATTTATATATTCCCATTTTATGGCTCACTCTCTAGTTATGCGATAACATATACTTTGGAAAGCAATGTGCAAAGATCTATTCCTTTCCTCTCATGATGAAGATGTACTGCCTTGGCAATGTACCAGGAGAGGTATACATATCTAGCCAATAGGTGTTTGGGCAATTTCACCTAACAATGAAATTAACCTTAAGGTGTGGCCAAGCCTCGAAATAGAAAATTGTGCACGTACCAGGGGGGTTTCTCGGGCCAATAAAGAATGTACATATAATGGTATATTGTAGTCGTTAACTGTATCAAACCTATAGATGGATCACAGAGTATATTGTTATGAGACAAATTACATGTGCACATGCCCCGTAATAGAATTGTTGAGAATCTGTCAATATAATAAGAGATTCGAAAATACAACTTACGAACCTATTGACACTCATCAAACTCCAAATGATATGTAGTCATATATACAGGCATACACAAACATCGATTTCAAAAATTTTCTTCAAAAAAAAAGTTCAAAATGTAAACAAAATATTTCATTAACAAGAGAGTGAGGACTGAGGAGACAGAGAAACAAAACATTAAGAAAAGTCAGTTCATGGAGGAACTTTGACATAGAAATAAATATGCATTAGACAAGTCAAGACTAACAGAAATCAAGAGTAGATGMGCAGCATCAYATACCTGACTCCAGCTACCAGGTGCAGCACATAGATCTACCACACGCTTGACTCCTGAAAGTCTAACAATATCATAAAGTTCATTATGCCTAAAACTAATTGCATCAAAATAAGAATGTATGAATTCAATCATTCATCTTAAATGAATACAAAGTTCATTTAATTTGCACCTTCGAAGATGTTGAACTCCTCATCAATTTGAAGGAGCTTAAAGGCACTCCGTGCCCGCCAACCTTCCTCTTTTGCTTTGCGGTAGTAGATATCCTATGTGCAATTTATCTCACTAAGCTAAGATAGAGCATCGATAAAATAGAAAGATAATTTAATTCATGAAAACAACAATGGTACCCTTTTATCTCTCGAGGCTTTTCCCATTATCTGCACTTGCTTATCCTCTAGTACATACAAACAACCATTAGATGAGGATTTGGACTCCAATCAGTAAAATCAGATTCGGACTAGACTTTTGGTCTGGTCCATAAAAAAATTAACAGATTTAAAATATTAGAAGCTGGGCCTGCTTTTATCCTGTCCAGACCGGTCCGGTCTTTCTCAGGTTAAGGAAAAAAGACCAGTGTTTATCTGGTATGACTGAAAAAAATCTGGTTCGACTTAAAAAAGTTTGCCGGAAAGAGGACAGACGGTAAGGACAGAAGACGTCATGGACCGGTCTTTATCCAATCTGGAACAAGTCCGATCCAAATGCACATACCTACTTTTGACCCATACAAGTTGCAGCAACTTCGTTTTCAGCGCAAATTGCAACATTTCCTTTATCGTAACCTTATAATCTAATACTCCTTTGATACTCAAAATATATGCAACACTTACACTTTTGAATTTGTCCCATATAAATGCAATGTTCCTTTTCTAGAAAGATCTTTTTCCACCTATTTGCATATCGGCAGCCATTACAAGATATTGATGAGCTTGATCAGTTGATCATGGTCCACAAGTTTTCTCGATTTTGTTTTATTAAAGGGCATATTACGTATTTGACCATAATGCTAAGAGTTTCATTAAACTGTGTATGTTCCAATAAAACAATGCTGCTACACTTGTTTTGAGAACAATGGAGTATTACTTGTTTGCCTATTGTCATCAACTCATCATAAATACAATTACTTGTGTTCATGAAAGGTATTTGAGATATGTCTGATCAGGCCATGCAATTTCATGCGACTGAAAGGGGTAAGTTTAAATGTCTTCCACTTCAGAGTCTTGAGTATTAACACTCCCTCGGTTCAAAGTAATAAGAGATGCACGATATGGTGAAGTATATATCAGCATAAGTTTAATAATTGTTCCAAATCCAAAATAAGAGATGCACAATATGGTGAAGTATATATCGATTCACTATGTCAGGTTGTCTATTTGTTTGAAGACTACCAATGACATGCAGATAAGAATTCCAAAAGAAATTGATGCATATACTACAAAATAATGATTCACCTACAAGTTTACCCTTAAATCTATAAATTTTCTCAAATTTAAACAACTAAGAGTCTATTTGTTTGTTAAGACATGTACACATAAAGGCATCTCTCCTGTTAATGATCAATTGTTGTTTGTTTTKTGTTTTGAGCAAACAGTYTGAATGACATAATTACCAATTTCACCCTCTATTTGGATTTGTGGAGAACACGAAAATCAAAGCTTCTATTAGTAATTTGAGTGACAAAGGGATTTGATCAAACCTCTTTGTTTGATCTAAGATTGGTTTAGWCGTATGACAACTCTGATGAGACGCATTATTAGGGTTGTTTTTCTATTTTAGTTTCTTGGGATTGTATAATTGACCTGAATGAAGACACTAACCCGAAGCATATCTCAACCCATCTTGTTGGACTAAACCAATATAACTAGCAGCATAGGTCTAAGTAGTTTGAGTTTGAGCTATGTAGTGGTTTGATCAAGCTAATATTTGGTTTGATCCTTCTTTAGCCTTTAGCCCAATTCATCCCGACTTGCTTGGTTAGGAAAAACCAAACCAAATGCATTATGACAAAAAATTTGAGCCATATAATCGTTTTTAGGGTGTGTTTAGGGATGGCAACGGGGCGGGATGGGGCGGGGTTTGCAATCCCCGGCCCTGACCCCCGCCCCGGTTTATTTCCACAGTCCCCGGCCCCGGTTTATATCCAGTAAGGGGATTTACCTTTCTGCCCAGGTCAAATTTCGGTCAACCCCCGGTCAACACCCAAGTTATAAAGATCCTTGATTTTCCTAAATCATCTTGGTATATGAAGATCCTTGATTTTCGTAAATCTTAGTGAAATTGGCAAAATTGTTGGAAATATGCAAATGTTACTTATCTACTCTCGTTGTCTAGTATGATTGGTGAGGGGAGAGGGGATTTGGAGGATGTGAGTGTGTGGTTTTTTTCTGTTTGGGGGGAAGGGATTAGTGTTGAAGATAATGAAGACAGTGATCAAGTCCTGTTTTGGCAATTTGAAATATCATAGCAGCTTATCAAATACATGGCAATTAGAACCCACATCACTGTATTCAACACTCAAAAAGAAAAGGCTGACCTCGAAGGCTCGAAGAAGACGACCGGTGGCTGTGGCTCACTGCTGCAATTCGATGAAGAAGAGAAGACGACTGGGTTTGAGTGTTACGGTTTGAGAGTTTGAGTGCTGGCTATGTTGCCGTGTTGGTCGATTACTCCTTGATTGAATCGTGGGTTGTGACGAGGACGAGCCGGCCGACGAGGGTTGTGGGTCTTGTGGACCTGTGGTGTGTGCGGTGAGCCGACGGCGACGAGCCGACGAGGGTTGTGATTTGTGAGTTGTGAGCAGACGTTCGGGAATCGGGACTGCTGTGTGATTGAGATTTGAGAAGAGATGAATCGTGACTTCGTGAGCGTGAGTGCTGTGCGTGACTGCGTGTATCAGTAATTCAGTATATAACCAAAAGCCCAACTGCCCAAGCACCAAAGCCAAGTATATAACCAAAAGCCCAACTGCCCAAGCACCAAAGCCAAAGCCCAAATATGAAATAAGTCAAATAGTCAATATTGAATATACCGGGTACGGGGTGGGTCGGGGGATACAATATCCGGCCCCGGCCCCAACCCCGGTACCTGTTTTAGCGGGGAATCCTTGTCACCGTCTGGGTCGGTGAACCGGGTTCCCCACCGGGTCTGGCCAAATCACCATCCCTAGGTGTGTTTGGTGTCCAAACAGGACAGGACAAGATAGAACAACTGTTCAACGTTTGGTAAGAGAAAACTGGACATAGCAAAACAAGTAAAATAACCAATTTAACCCTAATGAGTTGTTTATTTTAATTAATTTATGTAATTTATTAAATTATAATAGAATAATTATTTTTTATAACAAAATATATCATTTGAAAGTTTTCGTCAAAACAATTAAAATGACACCAAATAAAAAGTTTATGTAGTTTCCAATTTTTATTTTTATCTCTTTTCTACATTATTTTTTATTATTAATATATAATAAATTACATAAATTAATAAAAACCTTATAAAAATAATATTTTAAAGACAGTAAAATGAAAGTTTAAGAAACATAAAATACAATAAATAAAATTTAAAAAATGAATAAAATGTAAAAAGGAGATCTATTTGATGTTTTAGAAGAGAATTAAGTTTTGCTTTGAGATTATATTGATAAAATATAAGTCTGTTTCACCTTGTTCCATGGGGTAGGGATGGAACAGGCCTGTTTCACTTTATTCTTGTCTGTTCCACATAAAAGTCATGTCAAACCTGGGACAGGGATCACTGTCCTGTTCTGTCCAGTGTACCAAACGCACACTTAGTGACACCTTTTGTATGATTTGATCTTGATTTACCTTCTATTCTGACTTAAAACAGGCCCTTGATTAGGGTTTTGGCATTTGAATTGCGTACTGCCTATTTCTTTTACCATAATAACCTCAATCAATCTCGTTAGACTACACCGACGTAATCAAGCTAATATTTGGTTCATCCACTATGTCATAGTAACATAGAAAAAGTTATTAGTTCAAAATTAAAGAAAAAAAGATAGTCGTAAGCCAACAAACTACAAAGACCAAAAAGATTTGAACACCCATTTATTCATCAAAATCTCCTTATTAATCGAAATAACAAAATGGTCTCCCTTTTTCATCTTAACACATGTATCAATAATATAAAAGCTTTCTTTATTATAGCAATGTTGCTTTCATTTTTTAACACAACATTGTACATTCAAATTAATAGGTCATTCGTTGGTATAATGGGTAATTTTTCAATGTATAATGTCATAATAAAGAAAAATCTGAAAGTACAGTGTTATGTTAAAAAAAAGCAACAATGCTATAATAAAGAAAAATCAAAAATAGATATTAAAAAGTTGGTTCAATATTAACTTATTTTTGTTTGTGCCAAAACGATTCTATGTAATAGAGTACATGCCTCCAACCAAACCATTTCTGACATTCCACCCTTGGTTCGTCGTCCTGCTCCCGGGTAATTGCCCTGTTTTATTGCCACTGAAATTCTAGTACGTTTTTTGTTATCTTTGTGTTAAGCCACTCTGGTTATTATCCTTCCATTCAAAAAGCTTTAATATTGTTGATACATGTGTTAAGATGAAAAAGGGAGACCATTTTGCTATTATGATGAATAAGGGGGTTTTGATGAATAAATGGGTGTTCAAATGTTTTTGGTCTTTGTAATTTGTTGGCTTACGACTATCCCTTTTCTTAATTTGAACATATATCTTCTTCCATGTTACTATGACATAGAGAATGAACCAAATATTAGCTTGATTGCATCTGGTGTAGTCTAACAAGATTGATTGAGGTAATTAAGGGAAAAAGAATAGGCAGTAGGCAATTCAAATGCCAAAACCCTAATCAAGAGTCTGTTTTAAGTCAGGATAGAAGGAAAAACAAGATCAAATCATACAAATAGGTGTCATTAAGCCATTATATGGCTCAAACTATTTGTCACAATGCATTTGGTTTGGGTTAGCCTAACCAAGCAATTCGAGATGAATTGGGCTAAAGGCTAAAGAAGGATCAGACCAAATATCAACTTGATCAAACCACTATATAGCTCAAACTCAAACTACTTAGACCTATGTTGCTAGTTATATTGGTTCAATCCAACTAGATGGGTTGGGGTGCTTCGGGTTAGTGTCTTCATTCAGGTCATTATACAATCCCAACAAGAAACTAAAATAGAAAAACATCCTTAATAATGCGTCTCATGTTAGTTGTCATACGACTAAACCAATATTAGATCAAACAAAGAGGTTTAATCAAATCCCTTTGCCATTCAAAATACTAATAAAAGCTTCAATTCGCGTGTTCTCCACAAATCCAAATAGAGGATGAAATTGGAAATTATGTCCTTCAGACTGTTTGCTCAAAATCCAAAACAAACAACAATTGATCAATTACAGGATAGATGCCTTTATGTGTACATGTCTTAACAAAAAAACAAACAAATAAACTCTTGGTCGTTTAAATTTGAGAAAAATGGATTTAAGGGTAAAAACTTGTAGGTAAATCATTATGTTGTAGTATATGCATCAATTTCTTCTGAAATTCTTATTTGCATGTTATTGGTAGTCTTCAAACAAATAGAGAACGTGACATAGTGAACCATTGAGATTTGGAACAATTTTTAAACTTATGTTGATATATACTTCACCGTAGGGCTTTTCATCGGTTGACATCTATTAGATGTGAAAGGAACCGAAACTGATCCAATCATCCATTGAATGTTGGATTTTTCCAACCTATCCAATCCAATTAAATTGGACAACCAATCCAATCCAATGAATAGTTGAACCGGTTCGGTTCCATCCATTGGATATTATTATTGGACATCCATTGGATTGGATTGAATCCAATCAATATTAATCGGATTGGATTGGACTAGAATCGACATCCAATGGATGATCGGATCTGATCCATCAAATGTTTTAAATCCACTTTACAACAATTCATGATTTAATATTCTAGAATCTGGAGGTTTATACTGATCAAGTAACCATACTTTATACCAAACGTTGACCAAGTCATTGTTCATGAAAACAAAAAGTACAAACAGTAACTTAATCATATGAAAGCATAACTTTTTAGATGTTTAGTAACAAATGAGTGTCACTCAATGTGTTTTCCATCAAATTTCAAACATTATAGCTCACCATATGATCTATGAAAGCATAACTTTTTAGATGTTTAGTAACAAAATAAGTTCCAAYTATATAACATATTGTCCCAAGAGASGATTCCACTTCATAAGTTTCCATTTTGTTTTCTGATTTTACACCGATTCTATAAAAGCAAAAAAGAAATGACAACAATGAGATTTAGTTAACCTGTAAAAGTTCATGTCTTTACGAGTGAATGACGGCAAAAAAGAAATGTGTGCTTTTGAGGGAAGAAGTGTCATTATTTAGTCTATGAACCCCAAACTAAAAGATTTAGAGATGATCAAATGACAGCAAAAAAGAAATTTTCTTTGAACCCCAAACTTTCATAGGTTATAAAGTGATAAAAACAACTTAAAATTAGGTCTAAACAACTTACCAAGCTTGAAAGAGAGGTCGTTTTAGAGAGTCTAATCGAGAGAGTACAAAGTAGAGTGCTGCTAACAAGAGATGCGGGACTGTATGCAGCTGCTAATCGCCCGACTGGGGAGCAGTGGTCGGCTTTTCGTGTTGTTGCGGTGCTGTTGCGATGATGAGGCGGTGTTGAGCGATGGTGTGGTGCCTAATTTGGGTAGTTTAGGGTTTTTCTTTTTCCTCTCCGCAGCCGATTTGAACTTTTCTTTTGAAATTGAGATTTTCAATTTGGTTTGGTACACGTGGGAAAGGGAAAGTCAATAATGGTGAGGTCTTGTTGGTCCCTTGAGGGTCTACAAGATAAGTAAAACAGTTTGTAGAAAAGGGATGGGATGAATACAAACACAATATTTTCAAATTTAAAATATATATTGATAAAGAAGATCAATACAAATTTTACAAGTCTGTTTGCGGAAAGATAAGGTAAGAAAACCTATCTAAACAATCTTTGATTACACACAGATTCTTAGCAAATGAGAAAAGAAATGATGTAAGAAAAGTTCTTTTACTTAAGCTAGAAAATGCTCAAAGTAAGAATTAGGTTTAGAGAGTGAGTTGCGCGCTCTCTGGATGGAGAAGAAACACTTCTATTTATACTCATTGCATTAAATGTTCATTTAATGCAAAATGGTAGGGTTAGAGTGCGTGTCAAGCCTTAAGAGGAAGGTTTGTCCTTTGCTACAGTAAATAGTATAAAAAGCACTATTCATGAGCAGACATCCTTACCTAAAGTTGGTGGGCAATAGATTCAACAAGTCGGCTCCATACCGTACCAACGTTTAGAAGGGTATGGGTTTGTCCTTTGTGTGTATAAGGACAAGACAACAACAATCGCGCTAAGCAAGCTTCCTTTGATCGCTGAATGCTGGAATAACCTGAAGGTCTCTTCAGCATTCGCTAAGGCTTGAGCAGTCTTCACACATATGTAGATAGGCTTGTAATCACTGAGTACCGCTTCAGATCACGTACTCGCCAGTCTCTAATCATCAGTTTCAGTCTTCGACATTAGCTGAAGGTTCTTTGGTGTGAGTGTTGTCTTCTTGAAGTATCGATGTCTCTGATTGAATTACAATACAAGTTCTTTAGCGATCACTGAACAGGTTCAGTGATGATCGCTGGAACTGAAAAGACAGAAACATAAATACAACGTATAAGTGAAAAGGGATTATCATCAAATCATTGAGAGAGAGGATCAACAATCTCCCCCTATTTGATGATAACAAGACAACATAAAGAAAGTTGTCTTATCAAATAATAGTAAGGAAAAGTTACA